ACCTCTTTCCGCATCAACGCGGGCACCCAAAAAAAGCCTTGGCGTTGGGGACCACTGTGCTAGATGTTTAAGGTGTCTTGTGTTGGGAACCACTTTCCTTGAAACAGAATCAGCCATCATTTGAATGTGAATAAGCAGTCACGCTGAGAGTGTAGAGCTTTAGTGCAATTAATGCGACCAATCAGATCATCTGATCTCTTCCTTATTTAGCGTTAGGAATTTTAAGATTAGGCGTCAGTAGGCACTTGGACTCGCTTCAGACAATTACGTTATTTCGGATAGCACATTCCAGTTAATTCCTTCGTAATCATTCAGTGTTGGTCGCTCGCTTCTTCAAAGAGCTAGAACAGCTTTTATGAACGGGTTTGTTAGAAGCGTCTGAAATCGGTGTCCGAGTCTTTGCGTTCCTAATCGAGGATGTAGCCGTTTCGTGGTAACACGAAGTAGGATTCAGGACTGTAATTTGTAATCTAATAGTGATTTATTCTAAATTCTAGTTACTAGAAGTGACTTGCGTCTCGGTGCTGATGGAACCAGCACGTAGGGTCATCCCGTAACGTAGCGTTCAGATTGCATTTCTCGTGATGTAGCTTTAAAAGTGTGTGAAGGATAGTTTAATTATTTCTGTATCTGTATTTTACATTTCATTTCTTGTCCAATTGTGCCAAAAATTCTTTATTTATTTATTCCTTTCTTCCTTTATTTTGCATTTAAACTGTGATTTCAAGAGCGACCGCACGTCGGTCTGTGACAATCTGCTTTTCCGATACCACAGTCAAGGATTTATCATGTGAATATGGAAGGCATTTCAGATGCGCCGTGTGATCGGTGTTTGTTTTTTGTCTGTTCCAAATTATGCAACTGAATGAGATTTGAGGTTCTCGCAGCTTTGATGTTGATGTTGGTCCACGAGAAAAATACTTACTTCCAATCCTGAAGATGCTGACGGTAAGTTCCTCAGAAATATTGGTATCTGCCTAGACTTTCGCATTGCGTAACAGCCCAGAAGGCCGACTTCAATGTGTCACCGAATTCCTAAGTGGAAACTAAGAAATGCTTCTTTTGTTTTCCCTTAAGCCCCAAAATTTTGGGATAAATTATCTCAAGGAAAATTAGTGGAAAAAAATGTTAGAGAAAATTGTATATAATACATATCTGTGACAATGCAAAAATATTTGTTTTTGATATGGAACTCATTCCAATTTTAAAAGAGCTTGTGATCAAAATATTTCTCTTTCAGGATAATGTGATGCTACCTGAAATTTACGGGTGGTTTTCGTAATCGTATTGATTTACTGCGTTTCTGAATTTTATTCATCATCGGCTCTACGGCGCCGTGTGGGCCATGGCCTACTTTAAAAGCTTCTTCCATTCTTCCTCGCGCAATCTGTTTGCCAGTCCGTCGTTAATGAGTCCTTCCAACTCTTCCGTATATAAAGTATACTTTAATCCTGAAAAGAAAACTTTTTTTTACATCCAAAATGTATTTAGTAATTTCTAAATTACTGTAAACAACTACAGATCTATTAAACATTTCTGGAATTGTCTCGTTCAAATCTTTGCGTGTCTAGAACGGGGGGGGGGGGTTGACAGAGGAGAGGGTTCGTTGTGTTTAACATCCTTAAGGAATTCATAAATTAATGTCCCACTTTTGCAAGTGTTCTCATCGTACAGTTAGCCTAATATTCCTACGCGCTGCTCAGTATTATCGTTCTGTACGATCGTGTTTTGTTAACACGACACTTGGCCTATCGCTGACACGTGGAAAACGTCATAATTATTTCGTTGTTTATCGTCATTATTCGTATTCAGTTGCATATTTGGAAATGACTGCGTTATAAATGCCTATTATTTGTTTACAATAATCGTAAGTTGCCTAAGACTAAGCTGAGCACTTGTCCCCCGCTGCACCGACCCCATCCTAAAAGTTGCGTCCAGAAGTTCGTCGTTGTAACGACGAATTATTAAAAAAAAGCAACACGTGTAAAGAAACTTCAACAAAGAACCGAGAAATATCTAGCACAATCATTCATCTTCTTGCTTATACTAAACAGAGCTCCTGTTGTTTGTACGAATTTTCTGCACTTTAGATTTGGGACATTATCATCAATAATTTGTGAGGATTATTAATTATAATGTGTTTATAAAAATATTAAAAATGTACATAGTCAATGGTTGTTTATATTGCTAAAAATAAGATTGAATAATTAATAAATGTCTCTTTGTAATACCAAAATACCTAATCCAAGAACCCTCGGAAATAAAGTTCCAAAACCTCTCCCGTATCGTAGTTCACACGTGCTCGCGTAGGGCCAGCGAAACCTATGAAAGGGCTTTCCTATAGCGTGACAGTAACAGCCCAAGTGGTCAGCACCACTGAAACAAAAATCTATTCCTGATTGATTTTCAGTTGTTTTGCCATCTGAGCTACGTGCTTAATCCCATCTTGCTCTCCCAATGTAAAGTAAAGCCGTCTCGCTACACGCCATGTAGGCGCTTGGGGGGGAGAGCGTATAGCTCCTACTCATTCTCGACCTCGGCACTAGATGGGGTGAGCGGTCACCGTCGGCCGCGCTTTACCCCTGGGGAAAGTACCGCCAGTACCCTTTGGACAGAAGGCTGGGTGAGCCCCAGAGGCTAGAGGAAAAATCCTTTGCCCCCGTCGGGGATCGAACCTCTGTCGTCCAGTCCGTAGCCAGTCTTACATAACCTTTTTATTCCTCTTTTTATAGTTTCAAAATTATTAAATTACAGTGTAACTTTGGGCTTATTTGATAAAGAAAGAAATATGAGGTTTATTTTACTTTGTGTGTATATCAGTCACCCTGATGATTGAGGCAGAAGTCCCTCTGAAGTGGTGGTCAATTTTTAACAGAATACGTGGTGAAATATTGCACAAGGCAGTCATTTTCTTGGGTAATATAAGTTTATAATCTAGCAGTGAAATGCAGCGTAGCTCATGAGTTAGTGGTCGGAGCGTCGCGATTTGGCGTCAGGTACATGACCATGACAGAAAAGTTAGACTGTTACGCGTTTAAACATTCTGAAAGTCGAAATATGTATTTGTCACTGCACTTACGTTAATCGGGGTATAATAAAATGTGACGTAATACAGGTTGTCCGAAAAATATGTATGCACACGTTCAATGAATAACATAAATACGTTTTAATTAATTAAACAATTCCTTCAACATTGACATCAGTGAATTAGTGAATCTGGTGCTGGTGTTAAGAACGAACATCTTTAACTTGGTAGGATTTGAGGTTCTGACGGCGGTAAGTCCGAAGATGGCTGTCTTCTGGGTTGTTGAAGTTCACCGACGTTTCAGAGGTCCTTGTTCCATCATCAGGGTAGTAAGGATCCCTGAAACTTCGGTAAACGTCTACTACCAGGCCACGCAGCTCAACAACCCAGAAGACACCCATCACCGTTAACTTCGTGGCTGATTCGCGGCGGTGGGAATCTGACAAGGTTAATATTCCGTATTATCTTTTTGGGGGTTGAACTCTATTAGCCTTGAGTTCACCCATGAGCTTATGAAATTCAGTAGACATGCATTTATCGTGGTATCTTCAGCTTAAGGTTTCAGGCAAGCACAAATTACTCCACTGAGGTCGTAAGCAGTTCGTTACCGCTTAGATAGGTTGCTGCTGGCT